ATTTAAATTTACAGATATATATATATATTATACTATTAGTACAAAGAAAAAAATGAAAAAAAAAAAATTTATACGGTCACGGATCAAGCTCAAGAAATAAACAACAACAATGCAAGATTATTTTTCTTTAACAAATTCATTTTAACAGAAATTATAGTTCCAAATATGTTTATATATTTTACGTATTTATAAATTTTATTTTACTTGTTTTTAAAGGATGCTAAGATCTTGGAATTGGAAAAAATCATGACCAACCCTTATATTATTTTAACTAGGAAATTTAAAACTTTATTTCAGAATATTTTTCTAAACCTCTAATTTTAATTTTTTAAAATAACTGCAAATATTAATTTTAATCTAAACTTATGTTTAAATATTACAAATTCATCATTTAGTATAAACAATAAAAACTAAAACATAAAATTAATAAAGGTCAGCTTATGGCGCCAAAATAATTTTACTATTTTAGAAAACTTCAAAATTTCCAAAAATAATTACTTCAAAATAATAGAATTCCATAAAAATTAAAGTAATCTTAAACTCATTAAAAAAATCACCTTTATATATAAACTAGTTTTGAAATTTAACGTATAAATAATAATTTTTAAAGAATACAAACATTATAAATCAAAGATAGAAAAAATTAAACACATGGTTGCAATCATAGCAACAGAGATAATTGAAGAATAACACAAGTTTGATTGTCTAGATTGTAATATGGCAGGTGAGAAGAAGGACAGAGACATAAAGAGAATGATTCTCCCTTTACAGGCTTTGTATATAAGTTCTCTTATCCACCAATCCATAATTGCATTTTTTGCAGGTCATTTTCGATACAATATCTAAATGCAGAGTATTTTGGCGGTCTAATGTTTATGGAGCCCCTGCCCAAAACTTAAAACATGTACCCATTTCATTTCACTTCATTTAAACGTAGATAAAAATATATCAAATGTGTATCTAAAGATTTGATGCCCATCGAAACTTGCATTACATTATTTGTTGGACACAAATTTTCAAATCTATAGTATAGATAAAGCCAAGGTATGAGAGTGTGCATCATAGCGAACTTGGAGTCCTGACCAGCCTAATAATAATAACCTTTTACCAAACAAATGATCTCAACAAAGAGAAAATCAGATACTTACCTAATGTTCCAGGGAAAAGCGGTAACGAGGAATAATGGGCATAAAGAAATATGCAACGAGTTATCAGAAAGAGTATCATTGCATCAAAGAATGAAACCGAGACCAAATGTTAGATAACACTTAGATAAAATGAAAAGGCTGCGGCAAAGTAATCGTGGGTCCAATAATACTTATTCAAGTTATTGAATGAGATCAAATGTTGAGAAAAATAAGAGCCGAAAGCAAAGGAAGAAGATATTTTATGATAGGAGATGAAATAAGGCAATTGTATACTTAGGCTTGATAGAAACTCACATTTCGCCATTCATTAAATTCCTTCGTGTTTACTAATTTACTAGGATAAGATCCGCGCATTGCGCGGGATGAAGCTATTATTTCTATTATGTTTTGAAAAATGAAACAATAGTTCGGTTTCATTCGACTTAGAGGTGTTCAATCC